TTCCAGGGGTGATTTTGGGGTTCTAGGAGTGATTTTGGGGGGTGTTTTGGGGTTCCAGGGGTGATTTAGGGGGGTATTTTGGGATCCCCAGCCCCCCCTGAGCCCTCCATCCCCCCGTTCCCACCCGCAGTCCCCGAAGGAGCCGGAGCAGCTGCGGAAGCTCTTCATCGGCGGCCTGAGCTTCGAGACCACGGACGAGAGCCTGCGCAGCCACTTCGAGCAGTGGGGCACGCTGACCGACTGCGTGGTGAGACCCCAAATCCTTCCTGGGACCCCAAAACCTCCCTGGGGATCCTAAACCTCACTGGGACCCCAAATCCTTCCTGGGGATCCTAAACCTCCCTGGGGTACACTGACTGACTGCGTGGTGAGACCCCAAATCCTCCTGGGGACACCCCTAAACCTCCCTGGGGACCCCAAATCCTTCCTGGGGACCCCAAATCCTCGTGGGGACCCTAAAACCTCCCTGGGGTTCCTAAACTTCCGTGGGGTACGCTGACTGACTGCGTGGTGAGACCCCAAAACCCTCCTGGGGACCCCAAATCCTCCTGGGGACCCTGAAACCTCCCTGGGGCACCCCAAAACCTCACTGGGGAATCCCTAAACCTCACTGGGGATTCTAAACCTCCCTGGGGCACGCTGACCGACTGTGGTGAGACCCCAAACCCATGGGGACCCTAAAAACCTGTCGCCTGTCCCTGTTTCTGTTTCTTGTCCCCATCCCTGTCCCATCCCTGTCCCTGTCCCCAACGCTGTCCCCCGTCCCGTGTCCTTGCCCTGCCCTGTCCCCGTCCTGTCCCTGTCCCCAATGCTGTCCCCTCTGTCCCCATCTCCTGTCCCTCTCTCATCCCTGTCCCCGTCTCCTGTTGCTGTCCCATCCCTGTCCCTGTTCCCATCCCATTCCTGTCTCTGTCCCCAACGCTGTCCCCAACGCTGTCCCCAGGTGATGCGGGACCCCAACACGAAGCGCTCGCGGGGCTTTGGCTTTGTCACCTACTCGTCGGTGGAGGAGGTGGACGCCGCCATGAACGCGCGGCCACACAAAGTGGACGGCAGGGTGGTGGAACCCAAACGGGCAGTGTCCCGAGAGGTGAGGGACATTGGGGACACTGAGGGGACATTGGGGACACTGAGGGGACATTGGGGACACTGAGGGGACACGGCAGGGTGGTGGAACCTAAACGGGCCGTGTCCCGAGAGGTGAGGGACATTGGGGACACTGAGGGGACATTGGGGACACTGAGGGGACACGGCAGGGTGGTGGAACCCAAACGGGCAGTGTCCCGAGAGGTGAGGGACATTGGGGACATTGGGGACATTGGGGACACTGAGGGGACACAGCAGTGTGGTGGAACCCAAACGGGCAGTGTCCCGAGAGGTGAGGGACATTGGGGACACTGAGGGGACATTGGGGACACAGCAGGGTGGTGGAACCCAAACGGGCCGTGTCCCGAGAGGTGAGGGACATTGGGGACACTGAGGGGACATTGGGGACACTGAGGGGACACTGGGGACACAGCAGGGTGGTGGAACCCAAACGGGCAGTGTCCCGAGAGGTGAGGGACACTGGGGAGTCACTGTCCATCCCTTATGGTGGCACTGGGGACAGGGACAGGGCGATGGCAGTGCCTGCTGCTCCCGCTGCTGGCACTGGGGACAGGGATGGGGACGGGGTGGTGGCAGTGGCTGTGCCCGCTGTCCCTCCCGGTGCCCACTGTCCCATGGTGGCCCTCGGGACAGGAATGGTGGCCATGCCCACTGTCCGGTGCCCGCTGTCCGTCCCTGTTCCCACTGTCCTGTGGTGGCCCTGAGGACAGTGGTGGTGGCTGTGCCCACTGACCCTCCCGGTGCCTGCTGTCCCATGGTGGCCCTGGGGACAGCAATGGTGGCCGTGCCCGCTGTCCCATGCCCACTGACCCCCCATGCCCACCCCCAGGACTCGCAGCGGCCCGGGGCGCACCTGACGGTGAAGAAGATTTTCGTGGGGGGCATCAAGGAGGACACGGAGGAGCATCACCTGCGCGAGTACTTCGGGCAGTACGGCAAGATCGAGGTCATCGAGATCATGACCGACCGCGGCAGCGGCAAAAAGCGCGGCTTCGCCTTCGTCACCTTCGACGACCACGACTCGGTGGACAAAATCGTCAGTGAGTGCTGGG